ATAATTATGCACTGACATCTTTCAAAAGTGGTTTAATAGCTTAATTTGGGCTTGATTTGACTCAAATTAGATTAATCATGCAAGTATGTGGGCGCGTCCGCGCCAGCACGCTATATGTGGTTGCGCCCGCACGTGCGATTTTGAGTGTGTGATGCTTGTGTCATGTCAGTGATCTGTAGTGATCTGGGGGGAGTTGGATAGGACAACCGAGATGAATTGTGCGATTCTAGTGGTGGATCAAAGGGCTGGGATCAGGTGGTGAGATATAGGGCCCAGACCCGGCAATTTGGATAATGAGATGGATCCAAGGCCCATATTAAACTCAAAATAGGCATGATTTGAGTCCAAAATCAGTAATATTTGGTCCTTCTGGGTCTATAAAATGGAGCCTGTGTGGAGTAGTATTCAGGACCAAAGGGAGGAGGAGAAGGAGGGGGACCAAGGGGAGAGCCCAAGCTCAAGAGAAGAGGAAGAAGGTCAAGAAGGAGCAAGAGGAGAGGAAGAATAAAGTTTTCACCAACCTGCTTAGCAAATGATCAATAGGATCTTCTTTTACGTTGTTGTTGCATTTTTCAGAGGAAGAAGAAAGTTGCCCATTGCCTTCCTAATAAGCAATCAACGGGTTCTCCTTTTGCATTGTCATTAAAGAGAAAGAAAAAGATTGTCATCAAATTGCCTAGTAGGAGAGCAAGTGTCTTCTTTTGTGTTATTGAACTTTTCAGAAATACCCAACCTACTTAGGAGACGATCAACAATATCTCCTTTCACATTATTATTGAGCCTTCCGGAGGTCAAAAAAAATGTCCCTGGCTTGTGTAGCAGAAAATTAATGGGATCTCCTTTCTCATCGTTGTCATGTTTTTTGGAGAAGATTTTCCATGTAACTACGGTGATTTTTGTAAAAGATGTTTTTGCACTGCTGTCATGCTTTATAGGAGAGATTTTCGTGTTATTGTTACACTTTTTAGAGGAGGTTTTTGACGCTATTGCCCTGTTTTTCAGAGTGATTCCTGTGTTGCTCAAATTAGCATATATGTTGAATTATGTCCACCTAAAAATCGATGATAGTACCCAAATTTTGAGGAGGTGATACCAACACCATTTGAAGACAAGCTGAGCCTTTCTTCGAGAGCATAAAAAACCGAGCTTGCCAAGATTGACCACATCTTGTGGGATTAACACATTATCATTGGTGAATTAGTAAGAAAAATGCCAATATGACTTGTCCTTCATAACGACGTTGCTCTCCCAAAAATACCGAGAACTGATTAATGCTCAAGAAAAAATGAATGATACACAAGCTAACTTGAACCAAAGCTTGAAGATATTGCAAACTTTCCAAGCAATGATGTTGACCCTTGAAGAGAAGAATAGAATGATGTTATCCTTGAGGAGATGTCAATAATCCAAGAGTTAAACGATCCTCTTATGACAAAAAAAGAAGAGAAGTCTAACAAGTCTTGTAAGAGTGTACTCCTGATGACAAAGAGAATGTTGAAGTAGATTGGAGTCTTTGTTTCTGATTTTTCTCACATTTTTATCGATGTTTTGTTGAATGATTCAGACAATTGTAGTCATTGATTGATATGGCGTGTCTGCACGATTTTTTTTCCTTGCTGCAATAAAAATTTTAATGTTTCTCCTGAGGTTTCTTTTAGCTTTCCTTCTAAGAATTGTTTGTTTTGCCTTTTGGGTGGTTACAAAATGTTGTTGCCCAACTTCTAAGCCAAAGTTGTCAAACTTCTGGGTTGTTACTAAGAATGTTTGACTTTCCTAGGTTGCTTAGTCAGAGTGCGCAAGCTCGATGACCTTAACTTGCAGGAAAGCAATTTGGTTATAATCCATGAATAATGTAAGACCTATCATAGGTTGTATTATCGGAGATGCTCGAGTTCTAACCTGTGTTGGAGCGTAGGTTCATTAACTTGTGTTAGCATTGCCATGAATAATGTAAGACCTATCCTAGGTTGTATTACGGAGATGCTCGAGTGCTAACCTGTGTTGGAGCATAGGTTCATTAACCTGTGTTAGCATTGCTGAGCATCTCCGCTAACCTGTATATGCCGCAATTGAAAGTTGAAAGCCATGATGGTAGTTGGTCATGCAGGTCATAAATAGTTATTTCAGGAGCGTCGATCGACTACAGAGGAAGAAGTAAGAACTACATGAGATGTGAGTCATGCATGATTTAGTTAGTCACATAGGTCGTAATGGTAAGCTGTGGCAACTTTTATAAGCCACACAGTCATAGTCAGGAGCTGCATGAGTTTTGTATCACATAGTTCGTACTTGGTTATGTAGGTCGTAGTGATGAGCTGTGATGACGTCCATATGCCACTTAGTTCAGAGTCGGGAGTCGCATGAGTTGTGAACCACATAGGTAGTAGTTGGTCAAGCATGCAACATGCAATCGTGGTTAATTGTGATGACGTTCATAGGCTGCAAAGGCCAGAGTCAAGAGATGCATGACTTGTTGACCACTTAGGTTGTAATTAGTCATAGTGGTAAGCTGTGATGTCTTCCGTAGGACATATAGGCTGAAGTCAAGAGCTGCATGAGTTGTTGACCACAGGCTTTGGTTGGTAACAGTGGCCATAGTGGTGAGCCATGATAACACACGTGGACCGCAGAGACCAGAGTCGGAAGCTGCACGAGCTTTGAACCACGTAAGTCGTAGTTGGTCACATAGGTCGTAGTGGTGGGATGTGATGACATTTATAGGCCATAGAGGCTGGAGTCAAGAGATATATAAGCCTTAGACCATGTAAGTCGTAGTAGCGAGCTGTGATGATGTTTGGAGGTCGCAAGTGCTGGTGTCAGGAGTTGTCTGAGCTGTGGACATGTAAATTGCGGTTGGTCACGTATGCAGTAGTGGTGAATTATTATGACGTCTGTAGTCCATAAAACAGGAGTTGGGAGCTGCAGTGAGGGAGCTTTAGGAGTCCAGAGAAATTCACCATCTTCAGGGTGCATTGTTACATCGGCCTTGAGAGGTGTCATTGCACCATATGTGGGCTGCGTTGTTACAACATCATCGGGGTGTGCCATTGCACCACAATTGAGCTACCTTACATCTTCTTTCAGAGGCATCGTGGCACTATATATTGGGTGTATTGTTACACCAGCACTGAGAGTTGTCGTCGCATTTTGTATTCAAGGTGCGTTGTTACACCGTCTTTAGAAAGTGTTGTCGCACTGTATTTGGAGTGTGTTATTACTTTATCTTTCGGAGGCGTCGATGCATTGTATTGAGGTGCGTTATTACAACGTCTTCGGAAGGCATCATTGCACCATATGTGTGGTGTGTTACACCATCATCGAAGCATGTAATTACACCTTCTTCAGAAGGCGTCACCGCACCATATGTGGGATGCATTTATTCACCATAAATCGAGGTGTGTCATTGCCGTATTTGGGGTGCATTGTTACGACATCATCGAGGTGTTTTATTGCACCATTTTCAAGAGACAACGACATTCAATATAATGCATTGTTTTGTAGGTTGTTATTTGATTTCGTGGTGTCATTTGTTGTTTCGTATAGTGTTTCGTTGTAAGAAGCGGGTGACGATCGATGTTAGCCAGCTGTATGAGTTGAAGGTGTTTGTCGGAATGTCGATGTGGAATACCAGACTTCAGCTCCCTCCTCTCCGGGCTGTCGACTTCCTCTAGCTTAGAGTCTGGTTCCCATTTGAAGACGGCGAGGGGAGGGGCGGGGG